GCACTCGGGAGGCAGAGGCAGGAGGATCTTTGTGAGTTCAAAGCCAGCCTGGTCTACAGAGTGAGTTCCAGGAAAGGCACAAAGCTACACAGAGAAACCCTGTCTCAAAAAACAAAAAACAAAAAAAAAGATATAACCAGTGACTAATTCTAGGATTATGTTTGGTCTTGTCAGGCATACTGAACTTATTGTGCTTATTCTGTTTTAATTGTAAGCTTCTATTGCTCTTATAAGCAAATGCAGCACAAATCTGGGAACAAATTCAGTAATAGTTAGGAAAGAACGCTCAACTTTTTCTAGTAAATGCACTGGAATCCTTACAGCCACACAGAAACCAGGCGGACTAGGAAAGGTAAACCAAAGTTAAGAGAGAGCTAGCAAATTTCCAGGAAACTCAGAAACAAGCCCCTCCTCCTCACAAGAACTAGCTGGTAAATGTGGCCTCCCTAATCAGCTCCTCAAGACTTTTGTGGGTCTGCTTGCACTTCTGAGGGACATAGCTTGGAGCCTGTAAGGGAGCAGTTCTCAACCTGTGGGTCGCAACCCCTTTGGGGTCAGACAATCCTTTCAAAGGGTCGCCTAACACCATAAGAAAACACAGATATTCACATTACAATTCATAACAGTAGCAAAATTACAGTTATGAAGTAGCAATGAAATAACTTTATGGGTGGGGGTCACCAGAACATGAGTATTAAAGGGTCACAGCATTAGGAAGGTTAAGAACCACTACCCAATGGCTTCACTGTTAAATGGCCATAAATTACTACGACAAACATTATGGATGGAACAACATTGGAAGAATCTTGTGCCTTATTTTTAACAATCTTTTTTGATGGGGAAAAAGGAATCTTATTGGTCTAAATCCTCTTCTAAACCAAAATTATTTTAACACATTCTTTAATTGTTTATAACTTCATCTATGGTCTCCATGGCCTCTGTCATAGACTTTTATTATCAAGCCATGAAGAATGTTTAACCTGACTATAAACTCAACCAACCACAACAAAATAAGCTCTAACATAAACACCAGAATCACAGACCTAATGTGGTATGCACAGTCTAAAGAGAAAGAGGAGAAAAGTCCAGGTGCAGGCAGCAAGCAACTCAGTTAGGATATACTTAAGGTCCAGGACTCTTGATGACAGAACCATCAGCTGACAACGTCTGGAATATGCTGCAATCATTCTAAGGGAAGATAAGATAATTTCTGAAGAACTGCATTTAACACTATCACATATATTTATCATTTATGTGGCACATCGTGTTTTAATTATTAGTTTTCTTAAAGAAAATCCTTAGACGAAAAGAGATATTCCTGTTTTCTCCCAGACTTTCCATTTTTCAGACACTACATTACTGGGAACTGTGAATTCTTCCCCGATTTGTCTGTCTCATCACATCTAGTTTTAAAGTCTCACCCCCCAGCTATGTAACCAAACAGAAGCCATGTCTGCATTTTCTAGAAGACCCTTCTCCATTGACCATGCTAAATGCCAGGACCAAGAACTGCACACAGGGCCTTGCAATATCAGTGTCAATTATGCTCAGGGACACACACTGTGCAAGGGGATTTTACCATGTTCTTTGGAATGGAAATGGCAATTTCTAGAATAGAACAGCCTTAGAGATCACCCACATCAGTCAGTGCATGTGGCTGGCCCATCAGGTCATTTAGAGAAGCACAAAAAACCCAAAGCAACTTACGTAGGAATGTGCATTATTGCATAAATTCTATTTGCACTGGGCCCAAGTTATTGCTCCATAGTTCTATCCTCAATTTATCGTGAAACCTCCTGCAACTATGGCCACTCCCAGAAAAAGATAATCTCCCACCTTAGGATCTTTAAATCCAGGAGAAAAAGATTTCCCAAAAGCCACCCATCAAACTTGCCCACCACACTATAGCGAACAACTTGAACCACATGTCCACATCCTGGTAAGTTAAAAAAAAAAAAAAAAAAAGCCAATCTGCCATTGTCAGATCCTAATATGACCCTGTTTATTAAAATTTTAATAATTCTTGACTGCAAAAATTCAGTATAACTATTTAGCAACCTAAATTCAAACTTATAAGGTGTTGTGAATGACTTAAGTTTAATGGGGTTTTTTTTCCCCTCCTATTCTAAGAAGTAACCTTGTTAGAACGTTTGGGGTTATTATTTGGAAGCATGTTTTGTCTTTTTTAAAACTTTTTTAATATTATTTATTTGTCTGTGGAGAGGGGATGAGTTGGGGTCCATGGGTATGCCACATTGCATGTGTGGCTATCAAAGGACAACTAGAACTCAGGTCATCAGGCTTGGCAGCAAACACCTTTATCCACTGAGCCAACTTGCGGGCCTCCCACACCATTCTTAAATCAACTGCAGGTATGAGTATGAGTTTCAAAAAATACTTAACTTGACTCACAAAAAATATTCAAATCAAATTCATAATACAAAAATCTCAATAAACATATGCCTGACATAAATTTCTTGATCTCTGTAAAGCGACCTGTGGTGGTGCTGTACAGATGGCTATGGCCCACAACCTATAAAATATGAGTCTAATAGTGATCTGCCTTTCTCAGTAACTTTTCAGCAGACACTAATCTAGATAAAATGGCAGGACAAAAATGTGAACACTAGCGCTAGTAAAATGGGGCGCTACTTGCAGAGCAGTAAGTGGTTGGTCAGCTTGAACTTTCCATAATGTTAATCACCGTCAAATTATTCAGGCCGCTCCTAGGAAAAGCCATGATATTCTACACACTAATTAAGTGAGTTAATGCTACACTCACACTCCAGATAACTCATCTATTTCAGTCCTGACTATTTAATTACCTCATTCTTGTAAATAAATTCCCCTTGGTTCAAAATGATTAGAGGACTAAAGTTGTAAATCAGTGAATGAAAACTAAAAGAGACCTGCCTTTACAAAGTTCAAGTACAGTTGATCTTGTCTTGTAAGTCTTTATTTTCTCCAATTCCAGATTAAAACGCACTAATACACAGGGTTTTCTAAGCCCATTGGAACTTGTGCAACTTATCCTGTGTGGTTGTAGCTAATAAATTAAGACTTGTTAGATTTCAATTTTCTTAACAGTCATCTTCCCTAACTACTCCACATGACACAATTCACCTACCTTGCTTTGGGTTTTGTACATTATATTTCACATGTTTTACCTATGTATGTAAGTTATATGTTGGCCAAATGGGTCCATTAACACACAAAGACAAGTGTGTTACTTTGGAACCCATCTCTGTTGTCTAGAATCTTGGCTAACAAATATTAACACCCAGTAATCATATATTCAATAAATGTCTTTTTAAAAATGTGGAAACACCCATAGTAAGTTTGTGTTACATGATACTGTTCTATATTTCATTATGATAAATATGATGTAATAGTATAATGTGCTATAATGATTTCAATTGCAAGAATAAGCAAATAACAAGGAAAACTAAACAACTGCTAATATCACAGAGGTAGTCACCAGTGTCAAATGTTTTAAAAATGGAACAAACAACTTAATGGTGATAGAATACCTGTATAACACAGGAATTGTCATTTTACAGTTAGAAAAAGAGAAAATCAAAGAAGGAAATTAAGATGCCCATGCACAAAAGACCAAAAAAAACAAAAAACAAAAAATAAAAAAACAAAAGCCTAACTCCTAAATGACAATCACGTATCTTTAAGGGGCCAAAGCCACTAATATTGATGTCATAGCATCTGAACACAGAACCTATCTACACCAGGCCAGAAAAGGCAAACTACTCATCGTGATTTCTATAAATGAGGATGAGACTGCTACAACATGAGATTTGTTTAAAAATTAAATATCACTTGAGTCTTTCTTCCAGAAGAAATAGCTCTGAGGTACAGGCTGTCTACCAGATACACAGAGATAAGGTATAAATAACTTATAGTCTGCCTTAGGTTAAAGTATCCAGTAAAAACCAGTGTGATAAGGAACTTCTTTCTAATCCCATTATAAATTCAGCCAAAATCTCCCTCTATTGCCTTTCACTTCATGGCTGACCTCCTGTCACAGTTTTCAGCTGTCAGTTTAACACACTTGGGAAAGAGGGAGCTTTACTTGAGGAAGTCTTTTTATCAGATAGGCCTGTGGGCTTGTCTGAATGGTATTTTTTTTTTTTATTGTTAATAGATGGCAGAAGACCCAATCCACTGTGAGCAACATCATACTTGAGTACTTGGGCCTGGGCTGAATAAGAAAGCAGGCTGAGCAAGCCCTGGAGAGCAAGCCAGTAAGCAGCATCCCTCCATGGTCTCTGCTTCAAGGACCATGGCCTCCAGGTTCCTGCCTTAGAACTTGTAAGTGAAAAAACCCTTTCCACCCTACATTGGTTATGGTGATTTATTACAGCAAAAACAAAGCAAATTAGAACACTTCCATGTTATATTTTTCATCCAATCCCCATTTTTCACAACTTCTATGAAGCTCATCTGTTTTACAGTGAAGTAAATACAACAGATTCTGGAGGTCAATCAGTTTCTTAGACACTTTGTCATTATTTCTGCTCCTTTTCAGGTCTCCCTGGAAAAATGGTCACTATGGGGAGATACAATGTTCTTTTCAATACTTACATTTGTAAGGTATTACAAGATGATCTTACCCATAAGAAAATGCACACTATGGAAATGATTGTTGTGAATCCTAACTTAGATGGGTGGAGGAAAATCTGTCTCCAAGAGATCTGTAGTACAAATACGATCCCCGTGTATAAGTGACACTGGAAATCAATGACCATCCTAATTCACTAGCAGTGAGACTGCACAACCCAAAACCAAACCACTCCCCCGAAAAAAATTTTTAGAGACTACTATGGGAAATATCTGAAGCTAATTTATTATAATACTTGTTTCTAATTAGGCATTCAAAAGCCTTCTGATTGCAGTTTTGCACCAGCTCAAGCACTTCATTAGACAAATGCATTGTTTTCCACACTACATGTTGCAGCATTATTTTTCAACCTGACAGCTTTACTTACTGTCTTAGAAGCAGTATTAATGTACTGCATCACCATTTCTTTTTTGATACTGAAGTCCTTTTCCCGCAATGGTGCCTTTTTATCTTCATTTAAATTCATATCTTCCTGGAAAACACAATTAAAATGTCTGATTTTAGAATCTAAGTAGAGCAGCAGTTCGACATACACTCTATGAAACAGAAAAATCAATAATTTGTGACTAAAGCAGCATTAATTGTTTTGGAATGATTTCCACATGGTTCTGCCTGAAGGAAGGAGAGCTGGGTAGACAGAAAGCATTCTAGATCATTTAACAGGTAAAACACTTACCAGAAAAGCTTTAAATTCACAGTAGGCTATTAAAATTATATTCACATCACTATAGATAATTAGACAGTTGCAGATTTCTGCCTTTCATAAGGTCATTAGGATTCAAAATTTCAATTTATTTATTTATTTTACAACAGCTGCACCTGAAGCTATCTTGTACTGTTTTAAAGAGATAATCTGCATGCTACAAAAATAAAAAGTAAATAAGCCACCACCTTCCAGGATAGCTACAAGCACATGCATAATACCAAACACCTAATACTAATGCAAGAAAATGCTGTAACAGTCTATGGTTTTAATCCTATCTATCCGTATCAAAAAATATTAAGTAGTTAATTTACTGAATGATCTAAATAACATAAAAGTTGAATTTCTGAATGAATATAAGAGTTTGTGAATTGGAAGAAGATAAAAGTCTAAAATTTCTCAAAGAGACTAAGCATCCTATACTTTGCTATAAGACTAATTATGACTAATAATCCAAGTAGCCGCATAAGCATATGAATTCCATAAATTGTCTAAGAGGTTGTGTGGTAAAAGATGGGAGGCTGAGGTAAGACAAAAGGGCTGGTGAAGAAGGACAGCATCAATAATTCCCTCAGGACCAAAGGCCCAGGGCACACGTAAAATGATTGGTAAAACAACTGCATGTATATAAATTCTAGAACTACTACAAATGAATACATAATAATCAGAACTTCAAATCACCTATGCAACCCAGCAAACGAAATTTCTCCCAAGAATGATACATTCCTTCTTCAAACAATGAAGATCATTCATTTACCTGACACAAAACAATTCTAGCGTGTTACAATAACAATTCCTTTCATTTTATCTCGATAGAAATATTTACAATGGACAGGCATGCTGAGCACTAGGGTGGTTGAGGTAGGAGGATCATGAGATCAAGGTCAGCTTAGACTATACAGAAAGACCCTGTAGAAAGGAAGAAAGGGAAAGAGGTAAGAAATTTTGAGATCTTAGAACATCCATTTTGACAGACTGACAAGAGGAAGTAGTTAGCAATGCGCCTTCTTGACCTAGTTAGAAGTAGTCAGGGTAAGTAACAGTTAATTTGCTTCCTTTCCCCCCTCTAAGCTAGTATTTCTCAATAGGCTTTACCCTCCCTCACCTATGATCTGGGGGCCAGCAAGATGGCTCAGTCTTGCTGCCAAGCCTGACAACCTGAGTTTGAGCTCAATGATTCGCATGGTGGAGAGAAGTGACTACCACTCCCCACACATGCATCCATGTACACATACGCACACACATATATGTATGTATGTATATATGGAAAAAATGTAAATTTTTGGAATTCCTGGAGACAATTGATTGTGGCAGTGACAGGGAGGCTGATATCACTCAAAAAGACAAAAGAAACATTCCTCAGTCGATCGTAAAGAACATAAAAAGGAGGTTGATGTAAAGAGATGCCCCTTTAAAAGACAGCTAAGTTTGTAATGGAGCTTGCTGTGCAAACCTGGGGACCTGTATTCCATCCCTGTGTAAAAGAGGCCATAGAGTTGTCCTCTGATCTCCACAAGAACGCTGTGGTTTGAATGAGGATGGCCTCCACTGGCTGACAGATTTGAATGCTTAGTCACCAGAGAGTGGCACTATTCGAAAGGATTAGAAGTGTGGTCTCGGTGGAGGAAGTAAGTGGGCTTTGAGGTTTCAAAAATCCATGGAGTCCCTCTCTCTTCCTCTCTTCCCTGTCTTCTGATCTGGATGTAGAACTCTCAGCTACTTCTCTAGCTCCATGTCTGACTATATGCTGCCAAGATCCCCACCATGATGATAACAGACTAAACCTCTGAAACTGTAAGCAAGCCCCAATCAAATGCTTCCATTTACACGAGTTGCCTTGGTCATGGTGTCTTTTCATATCAATAGAACACTGACTAAGACACAGATCATACACACACACACACACGCGCGCGCGCAATGACAATGACAACGACGATGATGAAAGAAATTATCAAAGCTCAGGCTCTAATCAATGGGATTAGACACAAAATAAAAAACTGAAAGTAATATGTAAACTCACATAATAAGTAGTATTACATGGGTTTAAGGTACATTAAATAACCCAGAAATTAACTATCATAGGATATAGTTGCACTGCCTTTTTCAAGTTCTATCAACATAGTGCTTTGTTTCATAATTATAGCACATGGATAACAAAAGAACACACCAGCAATAAAGAAGATATTTGTGGAGTTCCTTGAATGGTCAGGCCAACTGACTCTATTAAAATGCACCATTACATGGTACACTATGGCATTATACCGAATTCTTAATTATGAATAGAGGTAACTCATTTTTATCTATAGAAAACTTCACTGGCAATAAGTCAGGCATAAAAAGACAAGTAGTAGCCGGGCGGTGGTGGCTCACGCCTTTAATCCCAGCACTCGGGAGGCAGAGGCAGGCGGATCTCTGTGAGTTCGAGGCCAGCCTGGGCTACCAAGTGAGTTCCAGGAGAGGCACAAAG